TCGTCGCAGGGTTCAGCCCTGACGACCCCAAGCCCAAACACCCATGAAAAAACGAGGGGCACAGAACACCCTCACCCTAAAGAGCTTCGGGTTCCCTCCGCCGAGTTTGTCGGTTTAGGGTGTCGGGCGTGCAAGGCTGGAACAGCTGGGTGCTTTCCCATCGCACACTCCTGCCTCTTCTGCCCCTGCCACGGCGTAAGGGCGAAGCTTGGCGAGGAGCCGAGCGCGGGAAGCCCATGGCGTCACACGTGACATCAAGCTTGTCTTGTCGGGCGCTTGTGGGTGTTTTTTTTTGGGGTCCAGGGGCTTGGGATGGCGGAGCTTGGGGTGTGTTCGTGGTCTTGGCTTTTCGGGTCTTGAGGTTCCTACAACGGGTTTCTGGCGTTGGCTGCAGAAGTTCCAAGGGAGCAAGTCCAAATAGCTCCGCACTGCCCAGCCTTCAAGGACAGTTAAAGATGGCAGCTTGAAAATTGCGGGCTTCGGTTGGGGAACTTGACAAGAAGACGCTCCGCCATTTTGTCTAGGCTTGCACACCTGCCTGGCTTCTGCCTTTTTCAAACTGCGAAGCGCGCAAAGACGGGTAAAGCCCTCTCTTCCCGAGCGCGTCGGTCTGGCAAGGTCCCGCCCACCTTGTCTCAGAACCCGCCACTGACTCAGAGTCAGCGGCAGTCGTCACTTAAGGCTGGCGGGACCTGTCAGGACCTTTGCCCAACGGAAAGCTTGCGCTGCAGGCGGTGGACTCCCTAAAGGAGCGCCGCAACATCGGATGCCAAATTTACGCCATCGAAGTTCTTGACGACCTGCGATTTCCCGGGAAGAGGCACGCAGACCCGACGATGCGCGTCTACATCTTGGGGCTTAACAAGGCTTCCCACTTCTTGCACGACATTGCCCTGAAGAGCTTGGCCACCCCCTGCCCAGGCCCTTGCCTTGCTAGAGAAAAGGCCACCCCTCGACCCACCTTGCCGTCCTTGCCGATGAGGGTCTTGTGGGGGATGTACCTCCAATCTCGAGCGCATACGCCCAAAAGAGTCTGAAAATGTTCGTTCCACCAGGAAGCCTGCGCAAGCCTTAGCTTGAAAGTAGAAAGCCCAAAAGCCCGAAACCCTAAACCCTTAAACTTCAAACAGACAAACAAACAAACAAACAAACAAGCAAGCAAACGAACGAACAAACAGACAAGCAGACAAGCAAACAAGCAAGCAAGCAAGCAAGCAAGCAAACAAACAAACACACAAACACGCAAAGACAACACCTTCAAACCTCTTAAACCCGAAAACCTTAAACCTCAAACCTAAACATCTGAACTCTTAAATCCCTGAACCCACAACCCCTAAACCCTCCTGCCGTTAAATCCCCCAAAACCCTTAAACCCTTAAAGCCTTAACCTTTAATTAAACCTTAAACCCTTAAACCCTTAAACCCTCAAACCCTGAACCCTAAACCCTTAAACCCTTAAATCCCCTGAACCCTCAAAACTGTCAACCCTTCAACCCTTAAACCAAACCCGTAAATCCCTTCAAGCCTCAAACCCTTACCCTGAGCCATAAATCCTACAAAACCTCCTGACCCTATTAAACCCGCAAACTCTTCAACCCTAGACCCTTAAATCCTTGAACCCTCGAACCCTAATTCCTTAAACCCCTAGTCTCCTACACCCTTAAACCCCCTTTACCCTTAAACCTTTCAACCCCCTGAACCATTAAACCCGCTAAACCCCTTAACCCTTAGACACCATTAACCCTCAAACCCGTAGACCCCCTGTACCCTTAAACCCTTAAACCACTGAAACCCCCTAAACCCTCAAACCATTGAAACCCCCTAAGCCCTAAACCCTAAACCATTCAACCCCCTAAACCATTGAACCCCCTAAACCCTAAACCCCAAACCCCAAACCCCAAAACCCTTAGACCCTAAACCCCAAACCCCAGACCCCAAACCCTAAACCCTAAACCCAAAGGCCCAAGGTGCTTGAGGCCGTACTCGTCAGGTGGTCTGGCCGCGCCGTGGACCATCTTGGCACTTGAGAGCCCCTTGTCCGCCTTGTACCTGGGCTTCAGGTTTAGGGTTTAGGGTTTAGGGTCTGGGGTTTAGGGTTCAGGGTTCAGGGTTTAGGGTTTAGGGCTTAGGGCTTAGGGCTTAGGGCATAGGGCATAGGGCTTAGGGCTTAGGGCTTAGGGCTTAGGGCTTAGGGCTTAGGGTTTAGGGCTTAGGGCTTAGGGTTCAGCATCTCAAGTCCAAGCCTTCACTAGTTTAGCAGCCAGCTTTTCAGGCGCCGGAAGAGTGCCCACCCACCCAGAGAATCCCACATCATTAAGATACTAAGAGAATCCCACACCATCAAGATATTAAAAAGCTTTCAGGCGCAACCCCAAGCCCAAAGCCCTAAACCCTAAACACTAGGCCCTGAGCCCTAAACTCTACCCTTGCAATTTTGCAATTTGTGAACGAACCCTAAGCCCTAGTCCCTGGGCCCTGGACTCGAAACCCTAGCCCCAAAGGAACCCTAAACTCTAGACCCTGAACCATGACCTTGCCCAGTGATTTTCTGACCTTGCCCAATGCTTGCAATGACCCTAAAGCAAATCTTTTTATGATCTTGCCCCAACGCTTTCTGCATGGCCCTTGCCCCATGGTTTTTATGACCTCCAATGGTTCATTAGCATGTATGCTATATGTGATATAGAGGTTTAGGGTTTAGGGCTTGGGGCAACATCAAGCCCAACATCTACTGACAGGTTTCACCCTTCAGAGCTTCGGGGAGTTTAAGGCTCTGGAGCCTCGGGCCTCTTAGGGTTTAAGGACTTTGGATTAGGGATTTTTAGATTGGGATATTGGGGCTTCGCTTCCTTTGCTCTTCCGGAAATGCAGGTGCTTGCACGATTTGGCATCATTGTGGGAGAAAAGGCTTTGTGGGTCGCGGAATGGAGACTCCAGAACACAAGAAAACGTAAAAAAAGAATGGCTTCTGCCAGAGTTCTTTAGGACGTCTCGCGCCTAAGGCCTGCGGAACGGTGTGTTCTCACCCAAGCCACTTCTTGGCATCGGTAATCGTCCTCACGTTCACCAGCAGGAAGATGGCGTTGTCGCCGTGTGTTTCCGCAAGGCCATTCATCTCAGTAGCCGCCGGCCCGCAGGCCTTGGCTAAGCTTCCGGAAACCCCTTCAGCCCTCAAACCCTACCACCCGAAAGCCCACAACCCTGAGGATCTCTAAACCCACAGGCCCTAAACAGCCCTAAAGCACCTGGCTTCAGACCCAAGGATCTGGTCAGAAGTTCGCATAGAAATCTATGACCACCGGCTTGCCGGTGGACAAGTACTCCGAGAGCTTCTTCTTGGAACCATCCTTGGCGACTCGAAGGTCTGACATAGAAGGACCCCAAATCCCCCCTAAACCTTTTGGCCTTGGCCCCCCGAACCATTCAGATTTAAGGTGGGTTAGTCGGAGCGCCGTGCAGCTCTAAGCTACCACGAAAGCAGCAAGCTTCAAACCCAAAAGTCCGGGTGATTGAGGGTAGAATTTCAGATTCCGGGAGGCATTGAGGCTCAAGGTGTTAGCTTCAAGCCCGCTGAACCTCACCACTGGCAGGCGTCTTCCAGTTCCATCTCGAAGTCAGGAGGCTCCTGGCCGCTTGCAGGTGCTCTCTCTCCCTCTCTCTCCCTCTCTCTCCCTCTCTCTCCCTCTCTCTCCCACTCCCTCTCTCTGGCTCCCTCTCGCGCTTGAAAAGCGCCGCGGCTCGAACTTGTACCCTCTTATTGTTGACAACTGCACTGCACAGCCTCTGTGTATGCCATGTCAAGCCACTGAGGACCGCAGGCCGCAATGTACATGGCATATTCCCTGGGTGCTGACATTCGGCCCCTGTTCGGCACTTGGTTGCCGCATTGGAATCAGCCTCGACTATTGTTGCTTCTGTTTTTCGTCAGCTCTGGCGGCAAACAGTTTGAAGTTTGGTGTTCGGGTCTGTTACTCACTCGTCAACTCATTACAGGTGAGCCGCGCACAGGGTCTCCGAAGCAGGAGTCCAAAGAAGCTTCTCAGACGCTTCTTAGTACCATTTCTATCTCTCATACCTCTACCTATTATAGAACAGCCCACGGCTCGCAGTGAACGAGGCCGAGGGTTGCGGTCAACAGCTCTGGCGTGTAAAATGATCTAGGGTTTCGGGTTTTGGGGTTTAAGGTTTTTGGATAAGGGTTTGGGGTTTACGGGGCCTGTAGGGCGCTTGGGTAGTTACTTGGGTGCTTGGCTGGTGGCTTGGAGTGTGAGACTGGTCGTGTGTTGCGCATCCCTGAGCAGATCTGAGCAGGAATGTTCTTGCGCTGAAAAAAATCCCACGTAGAAATGACATTACGAGATTGTGCTACGATTGTCCCACCTGAGGCTGAAGCATGACCAAGCATGCACTGGTGCCGCGCATGAAAACTCGACTCAAGGCCATGCATCGTTTACGACTCTATGTGACCCACGCGCAGCAAGCAGGTAGTACAGCCATCAATACTTCGACCACGATTGGGGTATGGGAAGATGCTTGAACCCTTGACCCTACACCAGGTCCTTGCCGATGAGCTCGGCCGTCATGCCGCCCTTGGAGGAGTTGCCGCCCATATCACGTGTGCTTGAAAGGTAGTGCTGCGGGACGCTGCGGAGTGCCCGCACGAAAGCACCACCCGAATACACCCTGTCACCAGAGCATTCCAAGTTTAAGTCCAGGGTGCATGTGGGTGCACTTCAGGGGTCTCTATCGGGGACCGAGACACCAAAGCCAGGGAGCGCTGTTCTAAATTAGGGTCCCTTTGGGCGGATTGTTCCGAAGAATCAGCACGCCTCCTTCACTAGAATTGACGACGGGACAATCAGTCAAGTGCTGAAGGGAGACAAAACGACATGCCTCACGACGTCAGTCTGCACCTCGGCTTCCAGAGAAAAACCTGGCCCCCAGAATTGGAACCCCCCCAACCCCCAAAGCCCCAAAGCCCTAAACCCCAAAGCCGAAACCCCAAAAAGATCCCCAAAAGCTCCAGGCTGCCCCGCGGAGGTACTGCTTGCCTGCCCGCAGCTCGCCTAGAACCGTCCTGAAGGCGATGCCCAGGGCAAAGCTGGGGGTCTACTTCCGAAAGCTCAAGTTTGAGGAGGAGCTTTGGGCTTTCGGGAGAACAACGAATAGCTGCAAGAAGGCTACAGTGGAAAAAGGGCGTCGAAGACGGAGGTTATACTCCGGCTGGCTTGGGGCTTGGGGTTCCTCAAGGAGGT